TGTGCAACTAAGAATAATTATGACTTGTGAAGCATTCTGATTATACTGCACACTCACTTAATTTGCTCACAACAAATTTAAAAAAAGAAGCGAGAATGCTTCCGAATACGTGTTTGAGCAAAATATCAAGATACCTTTTCACAGTTGAGAATAAGACAGAATATATCATGGAGTATGAAATTCCCTTAGAGATAACAAAAGCGCTATTGGTCACTTAAAGGTAAAGTAGTAAAAATGACAGAGAAATAACAAAGCATTGAATAGAAAAATATGTTGTTTTGCATAATACATATACTAACATAATAGCAACCTATATTCTTGTGTCTACTCATCTAAACAACTATATTTCATCCCGTCACCAGAAAATACACCAAACAATCAATGATTTAATACCACTATATTCTTTGATTGTGTAGGTTGTCATGGAATAATGTATAAGATGCCATGTAAAATCAATAATCTCTGTGTTACTGACATTTACACTAGGTAAAACTAAGTTATTTACAATCAAATTAATACTTAAAAATGTAAAGATATTTTGATTTTAAGCATCAGAGATCCAAACAGAATAAAGAGTATTTTTTGTGAGGGGTCTGTAAGTGCGGAAGTCCCCTTGTAATCTACTAGAATATGAGGAATGTATAATTTGTACATACAAACAAACAATGATAAATCATCAAACTACTACATATTGAACCATCATATTGACAACTAATAATGATGCTGGTGTATTAAAGAAACACTTCACCTATTTCTAACCTCATATTCATTATATCCAGCACCATAACAGTGTCTACATATGTGAAAAGGGTGTGTTTCTGAAATACGCCTTTAAATGGAAACAAAGGTTACTGTATAGAAAAGGTGTAGGTAAGTACTGTATGAACGCCCAACATGTACTTAATATGGTTGCGATCTGGTTTATTCCATTGTGTTAGAAAGCCTAAAAGTTTGTTCTCAGTCTCATACTGTAAGTAGCCTGGTTCCATATCTGTTTGTGCTGGTATATAGCTTACTCATATGGTCATTGTCTTGGCTATACTGTAATATTTATGTTGTCTGCAGAATGTGGTAGTCTTCCCTTAGTGTACATCTATCAGTCTCATATCCTTTATCCCAAAGAAGACAGACTCGTGACAGACTAAACAGATCAACACGCATGCGAGATTTGGTTCTGGGTGCCAAAATGAATCCCAATGTGATGAGAAGCCAGGCCACAGCCTTTGCAAGAGTTTTACTAAATAGATGATCGAATGGCTTTTAACACACTTCTATATCATAAACTAGGGCATTGGTTCCCAGATCTGGTGGTCCTCAGCAAGGAAAAAGTTGAGAATGGGAACCACTGAACTAGGGGAAAGGAGTGATAGGTAGAATGTCTGTGTCTCTCAGAACATCTTGTCTCTCTCAATACACCTTTACTCCACACACAGAGACGCATACAAAGCTCTCCCTCGCCCTCCATTTGGCAAATCTGACCATAACTCTATCCTCCTGATTCCTGCTTATAAGCAAAAACTGAAGCAGGAAGCACCAGTGATTCGGTTAATAAAAAAGTGGTCAGATGACGCAGATGCTAAGCTACAGGACTGTTTTGCTAGCACAGACTGGAACATGTTCCGGGATTCTTCAGACAGCATTGAGGAGTACACCACATCAGTCACTGGCTTCATCAATAAGTGCATCGATGATGTCGTCCCCACAGTGACCGTACGTACATACCCCAACCAGAAGCCATGGATTACAGGAAACATCCGCACTGAGCTAAAGGGTAGAGCTGCCGCTTTCAAGGAACGGGACTCTAACCCGGACGCTTATAAGAAATCCCGCTATGACCTCCGACGAACCATCAAACAGGCAAAGAGTCAATACAGGTCTAAGATTGAATCATACTACACTGGCTCTGACGCTCGTCGGATGTGGCAGGGCTTGAAAACTATTACAGACTACAAAGGGAAGCACAGCCGCGAGCTGCCCAGTGACACAAGCCTACCAGACGAGCTAAACCACTTCTATGCTCGCTTCGAGGCAAGCAACACTGAAGCATGCATGAGAGCACCAGCTGTTCCGGATGACTATGTGATCACGCTCTCCGTAGCCGATGTGAGTAAGACTTTTAAGCAGGTCAACATTCACAAGGCCGCAGGGCCAGACGGATTACCAGGACGTGTACTCCGAGCATGTGCTGACCAACTGGCAAGTGTCTTCACTGACATTTTCAACATGTCCCTGACTGAGTCTGTAATACCAACATGTTTCAAGCAGACCACCATAGTCCCCGTGCCCAAGAACTCTAAGATAACCTGCCTAAATGACTACCGACCCGTAGCACTGACGTCTGTAGCCATGAAGTGCTTTGAAAGACTGGTCATGGCTCACATCAACAGCATAATCCCAGAAACCCTAGACCCATTCCAATTTGCATACCGCCCCAACAGATCCACAGATGATGCAATCTCTATCGCACTCTACACTGCCCTTTCCCACCTGGACAAGAGGAACACCTACGTGAGAATGCTATTCATTGACTACAGCTCAGCATTCAACACCATAGTGCCCTCTAAGCTCATCACTAAGTTAAGGATCCTGGGACTAAACACCTCCCTCTGCAACTGGATCCTGGACTTCCTGACGGGCCGCCCCCAGGTGGTAAGGGTAGGTAACAACACATCTGCCACACTGATCCTCAACACGGGGGCCCCTCAGGGGTGCGTGCTCAGTCCCCTCCTGTACTCTCTGTTCACCCATGACTGCATGGCCAGGCACGACTCCAACACCATCATTAAGTTTGCCGACGACACAACAGTGGTAGGCCTGATCACCGACAACGATGAGACAGCCTATAGGGAGGAGGTCAGAGACCTGGCCGTGTGGTGCCAGGACAACAACCTCTCCCTCAACGTGACCAAGACAAAGGAGATGATTGTGGACTACAGGAAAAAAAAGAGGACTGAGCACGCCCCCATTCTCATCGACGGGGCTGTAGTGGAACAGGTTGAGAGCTTCAAGTTCCTTGGTGTCCACATCACCAACAAACTATCATGGTCCAAACACACCAAGACAGTCGTGAAGAGGGCACGACAAAGCCTATTCCCCCTCAGGAGACTAAAAAGATTTGGCATGGGTCCTCAGATACCCGGACTATTTGCACTGCACCCCCACCCCATCCTTTTTACGCTGCTGCTACTCTGTTAAGTATTTATGCATAGTCACTTTAACTCTACCCACATGTACATATTACCTCAACTACCTCAACTAGCCGGTGCCCCCGCACATTGACTCTGCAACGGTACCCCCCTGTATATATAGCCTCCCTACTGTCACTTTATTTTACTTCTGCTCTTTTTTTCTCAACACTTTTTTTTGTTGTTGTTTTATTCTTACTTTTTTTGTTTAAAATAAATGCACTGTTGGTTAAGGGCTGTAAGTAAGCATTTCACTGTAATGTCTGCACCTGTTGTATTCGGCGAATGTGACCAATAAAATTTGATTTGATTTGATTTGAGTCGATATTCACGTCATAAGAAGAAATCCCCCTCGACCACGGCCACAAATTGGGGAAAACAAACATTGTTTCCCATAGACCCCCATTATAAAAGAGCTAACTTCGTCGTCAATTTTTGGTTATACATAAATAACAAAACATGCCGAAAAGCTGCTGTGTTGTTCAATGTACATGTAACCAGGTAAAAAATCCCAACCTATGGTTCGCAATGCTCCCACGTAGGGAAATAGAGCCCGCGAGAAGAGCCCTGTGGCTTCAGGCTATTTGGCGTGGGAGAGTGGGAAATGTGGGCACCCAGTGTCCAAGTAGGCTACACATAGCTATGTGTATGGAAAACATTACATCACAGGTAAGACATTTAATGTATTTATTATAGTCCGTTTATAACTCTACTCACTACTTGAAGCTTAATGTTCCAGTCGGTAGCTAGCTAGCACTCACTCCCTCCCTCACTTGGCTGCTAGCACCGTCATGAAAAGGGGCATGAGGGAAGCTCTACAATATTAAGTTTTTCTAAGTAGTGAGAATGCTCGGGAGCAGGCAATGTTGAAAAGTAATCTTTAAACATGTTGTACTTGTCTTAAATGTAGTTTTGTAATTGACTAAAACAACTAGACAACAAGAAATGTGCGTTTGAAAAAGCCTGAAGTTTTGCTGTGAGCCATTGGGGTAACCTAGGTAACCCAGATTGTTTTCCCCACAGGCGGGCGGGGCCGCAACGTTCTATCTAATACCGACTGGGACTATAGATGCAGTAAATAGGTCAATCAAACTCGACCAAAACAATGGAATTGACATGAAAACGCGTGGGGGAAAGATCCCGAGTCTCCTCATTGCCCTCCAGCAAAATTAGCCTGCATTTAGGTTATTGTTTATATGTGTATTTCACACTATGTTGAGGTAAAAATCGGAGTATAATGCTTGTATGGATGTCAACCACAACACATGTCCATGTCATCATTACCAATCAACTGCATTACAGTTAAAAACAACTTTGACTACTACCACCGATTTCTATATGCTAGCTATGCTAACCATCTTATTTGAACGGGAGTCAGCATTTAGCAGTCACTTCTTCTAAACCTGAAAAGGGACAACTTCAACATGTTATGCAGTGAAAACCCTTACGAAAAAGATTGTAGTCAGAGTGCAGTATAACTGCAGTATGCAGCGAATACTACGGCCAAAATGTTGCAGTGTAACTGCAGTTAGAGTGCAGTATAACTGCAGTACACTAGTTATTCTACAATTACTGCGTCCAAAATACCACAGTTGACTGCAGTTTCTGCACTTTTACTGCAGTTTAAAAAACGGCAATCTTTTTTTGTAAGGGAACAGCCAAATACATCCAAATCGGACTTAAGTAAGCACATTATGGGCCTGTTACAATACATAAATTAAGACGGATTTGACGAATATCCACTTTGTTAGATCAGAGTGATGAGAAACTGTCTTCACTGGGCTCCTCCTTCTCTTGCATTCCCCCCTCCTCTTCCTCTTCCTCCTCCTCCTCCTCCTACTCCGAGAGTCTGTTCAGAATCTCCTCTAGCTCCATCTCAATAGGCTGGCCCTGGGACCTGAAAACACAAACACACAGTATATGGAGGGGTCTGAAGTGCTGTCCCAGTGAGGTGTCAAATACAGTGCCTTCAGAAAGTATTCATACCCCTTGACTTATTCTACAATTTGTTGTTACAGCCAGTATTCAACATGGATTAAATTCCTTATTTTCTTCACCCATTTACACACAATAAATACCCCATAATGACAAAGTGAAAACATGTTTTTAGAAATGTTTTCAATTGTATTGAAATATCTAATTTAGATAGGTATTCACACCCATGAGTCAATACATGTTAGAATCACCTTTGGCAGCGTTTACAACTGTCAGTCTTTCTGGGTAAGTCTTTAAGAGTTTTGCATACCTGGATTGTACAATATTTGCACATTATACTTTTAAAAATTCTTCAAGCTCTGTCAAGTTGGTTGTTGATCATTGCTAGACAAGTCTTGCCATAGATTTTCAAGCCAATTTAAGTCAAAACTGCAACTAGGCCACTCATGAACATTCAATGTCATCTTGGTAAGCAACTCCAGTGTATATTTGACCTTCTGTTTTAGGTTATTGTCCTGCTGAAAGGTACATTTGTCTCCCAGTGTCTGTTGGAAAGCAGACTGAACCAGGTTTTCCTCTAGGATTTTGCCTATTCCATTTCTTTATATCCTAAAAAACTCCCTAGTCCTTGCCGATGACAAGCATACCCATACCATGATGCAGCCACCACCATGCTTGAAAATATGAAGAGTAGTACTCAGTTATGTGTTGTGTTGGATTTGCCCCAAACATAACGCTTTGTTTTCAGGACAAAAAATGATTTGCTTTGCCACATTTTTTATTCTGTACAGGCTTCCTTCTTTTCACTCTGTCATTTATGCTAGTATTGTGGAGTAACTACAATGTTGTTGATCCATCCTCAGTTATCTCCTATCACAGCCATAAAACTCTGTAACTGTTTTAAAATCACCATTGTCCTCATTGTGCAATCCCTGAGTGGTTTCCTTCCTCTCCGGCAACTGAGTTAGGAAGGGCGCATGCATCTTTGTAGTGACTGGGTGTATTGATACACCACCTAAAGTGTAATTAATAACTGCATCATCAAAGGGATATTCAATGTCTGTTAGTTTTTTTGCCCATTAAACACTATTATTGCACACAGAGGGAGTCCATGCAAGTTATTATGTGACTTGTTAAGCACATTTTACTCCTGAACTTATTTAGGCTTGCCATAACAAAAGGGTTGAATACTTATTGACTGAAGAAATTTCAGCTTTTCATTTTTTATTAATTTATAAACATTTCTAAAAACATAATTCCACTTTGACATTATGGGGTATTGTGTGTAGATCAGTGATGCAACATCTCAATTTAATCAATTCTAAATTCAGGCTGTAACACAACTAAATGTGGAGAAAGTCAAGGGGTGTGAATACTTCCAGTGTGGTGTCACTCACATGTCCGGTCCAGGGAAGTGTCTGTTGGGGTTGGAGAGGGGGTCAGGGTATATCACCCCCTGTAGGGGTCCTGGGGGCAGCTGGAAGGAGGACGGGAACGGGTTGTGCCTGATGAGAGCATACAAAATACTTAGATTTTATTTGTAGCTACAGTGGCTTGCGAAAGTATTCACCCCCCTTGGCATTTTTCCTATTTTGTTGCCTTACAACCTGGAATTAAAATTGATTTTTTGGGGGTTTGTATCATTTGATTTACACAACATGCCTACCACTTTGAAGATGCAAAAAAAATATTGGGGGGAAACAAACAAGAAATAAGACAAAAAAAACAGAAAACTTCAGCGTGCATAACTATTCAACCCCACAAAGTCAATACTTTGTAGAGCCACCTTTTGCAGCAATTACAGCTGCAAGTATCTTGGGGTATGTCTCTATAAGCTTGGCACATCTAGCCACTGGGATTTTTGCCCATTCTTCAAGGCAAAACTGCTCCAGCTCCTTCAAGTTGGATGGGTTCCGCTGGTGTACAGCAATCTTTAAGTCATACCACAGATTCTCAATTGGATTGAGGTCTGGGCTTTGACTAGGCCATTCCAATACATTTAAATGTTTCCCCTTAAACCACTCAAGTGTTGCTTTAGCAGTATGGTTAGGGTCATTGTCCTGCTGGAAGGTGAACCTCTGTTCCAGTCTCAAATCTCTGGAAGAGATGGGGGGTGGGGTGGGGTAATCCCCACAGCATGATGCTGCCACCACCATGCTTCACTGTGGGGATGGTGTTCTCGGGGTGATGAGAGGTGTTGGGTTTGCGCCAGACATAGCATTTTCCTTGATGGCCAAAAAGCTCAATTCTAGTCTCATCTGACCAGAGTACCTTCTTCCATATGTTTGGGGAGTCTCCCACATGCCTTTTGGCAAACACCAAATGTGTTTGCTTATTTTTTTCTTTAAGCAATGGCTTTTTTTCTGGCCACTCTTCCGTAAAGCCCTGCTCTGTGGAGTGTAGGGCTTAAAGTGGTCCTATGGACAGATACTCCAATCTCCGCTGTGGAGCTTTGCAGCTCCTTCAGGGTTATCTTTGGTCTCTTTGTTACCTCTCTGATTAATGCCCTACTTGCCTGGTCCGTGGGTTTTGTTGGGCTGCCCTCTCTTGGCAGGTTTGTTGTGGTGCCATATTCTTTCAATTTTTTTATAATGGATTTAATGGTGCTCCGTGGGATGTTCAACGTTTAGGATATTTTTTTATAACCCAACCCTGATCTGTACTTCTACACCTTTGTCCCCTGACCTGTTTGGAGAGCTCCTTGGTCTTCATGGTGCCGCTTGCTTGGTGGTGCCCCTTGCTTAGTGGTGTTGCAGACTCTGGGGCCTTTCAGAACAGGTGTATATATACTGAGATCATGTGACAGATCATGTGACACTTAGATTGCACACAGGTGGACTTTATTTAACTAATTATGTGACTTCTGGAGGTAATTGGTTGCACCAGATCTTATATAGGGGCTTCATAGCAAAAGGGGTGAATACATATGCACGCACCCCTTTTCCGTTATTTATTTTTTAGAATTTTCATTTCACTTCACCAATTTGGACTATTTTGTGTATGTCCATGACATGAAATACAAATCCATTTAAATTACAGGTTGTAATGCAACAAAATAGGAAAAACGCCAAGGGGGATGTATACTTTTGCAAGGTGCTGTATTTTCTATTATGTAACTGTTATTTAAACAGATGAGTCAAGTTAGCCTGGTCCCTGAAAAGTTTGTGCTCTTGCCAACTCCATTGCTCATTGTCAAGCCATTGGCATGACAATGAGTGACAACAAGTTGGCATGATAGCACAAACAGACTGGCACTCAGGCTAGAGTCCTGTCACGGGTCAACACATGAAAACTAACAGAGTCTGTCCGGGATTTAAAGTAACTGTCCAGTGTTTCCAGATTCCCATGAAATATGACCTTTAATTAATTACAATATGAGGGGAATCGTTTTCCTTCCAAATGTTTTAAATTAAGTATGTTAAAAAGCAACTTTCTGTATTAGAATGGTGGGGGTGTACCCCAACAACAGAATGGTGTGGGTGTATACCGGTCATGAAACATATTCACACGAATAGACCGCACACATGCATAAACACACACATTTACTCATAATATCATGTTGTTCTCAAGGCATAAGAAACTGATTTGAGTTAGGAATATTGTTCGATCAAAGAAAGGCTATTTCTAAGTCTGTGTGCTATATTGCTTAATTTCCTGTTACAAAAAGAATAAGCTACTAGAAATGATTGTGACAACCAACCACTGTGTGACATCCAACCCCATGATGGGGCTGTTTGTCACAAGTGGACCGAGTGTGTTTGATGACTAATAACCTCATGTTGGAATAAGATATGAGGATTAAAAGGACCTGGGTCTTTCTATTCATGTTGAAATTAGTCTATTAAGATATACTGGTGCTGCGAAATACACATAAGAGCAAAAAGTGTGACAACCAAAACTACCTTTGTACTTGCCTGTCTTGAACTGACACTTGTCTTTTCTTTTCTAACTAGCACTGACTTTGCTGAGAGCTGCTTTGTTGAGGAAAATGTTTACTATGACATGTGGTTGTCTTACCTACAGTGCCTTGAAAAAGTATTTGCCCACTTTTTAATTTTCTCTACTTTTGCATATTTTTGGTACTGAATGTTATCAGATCTTCAACCAAAACCTAATATTAGATAAAGGGAACCTGAGTGAACAAATAACACAACAATTACATACTTATTTAATAAACAAAGTTATGCAACACCCAATGCCCCTGTGTGAAAAAGTAATTGGAGCTAAAGGTGGCACAACCAGTTATTGAGTGTAAAGGGACAATTACTTTTTCACACAGGGGCATTGGGTGTTGCATAACTTTGTTAATGAAATAAATAAAATAAGTATGTATTTTTTTTTTTTTGTAAACTCAGTTTCCCTTTATCTAATATTAGATTTTGGTTGTAGATACAAGATACCATTAATAAGATTAGATAAGATAAAGATACCATTCAGAATCAAAAATATGCAAAAACAGAGAAAATCAGAAAGGGGGCAAATACTTTTTCACGGCACTGTAGCTATCTTAACATGAATGCACTAACTGTAAGTCGCTCTGGACAAGAGCGTCTAGTAAATGTGTCTTCCGGGCACTGTATAGTTTATCACATTGACTAACAAGGTACTTACGGAGAGAGAGAGTAGAACGGTGATGCGCTGGCTCCATTCCCCTGGTCCCTAAGAGAGAATGATGAAGACCTTGTAAAGTCTGTGTGTGTGTGAGTGATTCAGACACACCTGACGTGTGTGTGTGTGTTTGTGTGTGTGTGTGTGTGTGTGTGTGTGTGTGTGTGTGTGTGTGTGTGTGTGCGAGTGTGTGTGTGTGTGTGTGTGTGTGTGTGTGTGTGTGTGTGTGTGTGTGTGTGCGCGAGTGAGTGAGTGATTCAGACTCACATGGAATAGAGAGAGGAATTGTGGTCTTGTGGGGTCTCACTGCGCTGAGGAGAATCACAGAGGGCTTCCCTGTAAACACAAACACCCCAATAATTCACAACACATAGTTCGCTTTTAACAACATCATGTTAGCTAACAAAGTTGTTAGGTAACAAGGTTGTGTCCCAAATGCGACCCTGGTCAAAAGTAACGCACTACATAGTGGATAGGGTGCCATTTGGGATAGACCCTTGGTTTGTTATATAGCTTACACTCCCACTTTGGTCTGGATGGAGACTATGAGGTATCCCGAGGTGGTATCCCGAGGTAACGGGTTATCTGGTAAAATGAGGCAGGGAAGAAGATTGGAATTCCCATTTAAACCGAGAATTCGTACAATTGTCATAATATTACTCTAATTCAAAGCTTCTTCTCACAAATAATTATCTCTCTCTCTCTCTCTCTCTCTCTCTCTCTCTCTCTCTCTCATCATAAATAGGACTTGCCTGTGTAGTATTTTCTGAACACGTCATTCTTCGGCAGATCTGGATACACGTGTGTGATGAAGTCGATGTCTTGAATACGGTCACCAAGGGAACGGATCTCCAAGTCTCTCTTGGTGGACGGTTGAATATTCTGGATCTTCTGGCCCCCGTCTGGAAAGAAGGGTGGAGGTTGGGAGGGACGAAAGGAGGGAGAAAGAAAGGCCAGGTTGATAGGAATGTATCTCAGGCTTTCTGGAATCCAGTGTTCCATACCAGAGGTAAGCAGTCAGAATGGAAAAACAGAGCACCAGAAACTCCAATAGAGACTGTCAACCAAGTCGTACAGTTACTCTGAGTGGACAGACACACGGACGGTCTAAACCCTTACTCTCAGATGGAGCCACGTATGCGATGGTGATGCCGCCTATCTCAGAGTCGCTGAAGCGCAGTAAGAAGGTCCCGTTGGGCCGGTCCTTCAGAATCAGGTGGAGGTGTTGCTTACCGATGAAACCAAATATCAACCTAGAGGACGGAAGACAGCAGGACACACAGTAATCTATCTATGTGTGTGTGTGTGTATGTGAGTCACTCTACTGTGACTTTAAACATTAGCTCCTTTTGTGTCATTCCTGGGTTCAAATAATATTCATTTTCTTTCAAATACTTTAACTGTGCCCGATTGAACCAATGGAATTGTCCCAAAGGTGCAAACCCTGTCCATCTGACACTCAAGACAGGCTTGAATCTTTCAAACACTATTCGAAACCAGGTCTTCTCTGTGTCTCTCACTGTCAAAAACAATTTTACAAGAAAAATGAAAAAAAGCGTTTCTTATTGGAAAAGTTCAGGTAGACCTTTCCTGTTTCAGTCTGTTTTCTTCCATTTGGTGCTTAATGAACAGGACCTAGCTCTGTCTCTGACTGGCAGACATGACTCACCCGTCACTCCAGTAGCTCTTCAGGTGCTTCTTGGTAAGCTCTATCACACCATCAAACCACTGCCAGAAGGTGAAAGGTCGTCCAGGGAGCACCTCCTGACCAACAAAATTACACTGTTCAATCCCTCTGCTTCTTACATTTCACTCTGTTCTGTCCACAATATTACTTGCAATCATATGCTCTTGTAAATGCAGTACAGTGCATCTAGGCCATGTGGCATATGGAGTTACCCTAGAGGTGGTGGGTGCACAGGACCTTGTGCCTACCCACTGGGCACACCACGTAATTTCAACGTGGAAATGTGGGTAATATTTGGTTGAGACGTTGATCAATGAGATTTCAACCTTTATTCACCCACTCAGCCAGAAGTTTGTTGAATTCCCAATGTGTTATCACTATGCTTCAACCCATCTAAAAGCACAATAAAGTTCCAATGGAAAAACAATGTCTGACTTTTGGTTTAGTTGTCATCTAAATGTGTTATTACTGCACTTTCAACCATTTAAAAGCAGAACAAAGTTCAAATGGGAATACAATGTCAGATATTTTGTATTTATACAACAACTTAATGTGTTATCACTGTGCTTCGTCTAATAGCACAACCAAATGACCAGGGCCCAGTTTCCCCAAAGCATCTTAAGGCTAGTTCATCGTTAAATATCTGAGCTGTTTCCAAAAACCATCGTTACTAAAGTTGCACTTGAAAATGTGCTTTACCGACTGCCTCAGAACAGCTAAGTCCGTCGTTAGATGCGTTTTTTCCCCTGCCGCGTCACTTTATACACAGAAGATCTCTGCTAAACATACATTCAAGATGTTCATCTGTCTCTCTGTGACCGCTGACAACAATGTTAGACCAGACAACAAAGGACAAGGAGAACTGTCTACAGACAATTGAGAAACCAAGATAAAGAGGCCTCCCAATTTAGGGAGGAGAGAAACCGTTAGGCTTGGAAGAGAGTATGAAATATGTTGCAGGATATTGTGAGGACGGCGATAACTAAGGAATGCAGCCTGCCCGAGCAAGGTGTAGACTATGATAAGAATGTGTGTGTGTGTGTGTGTGTGTGTGTATGTGTGTGTGTGTGACCTGATGGTCAGGAGAGCAGTTTTCCAGTGGAAAAATACAGCCCTGCTAAAGCGAGGTGGGATTTTTGTATGACGTGTCTGTATAAAAGATGGACTCTGAAATTGTGATAACAGAATTCTCTGGGCAGAGTTCTCTGAATAAAGACCACCTGGCTATTGCAGATCTTACAACCTTTTGGGAGACGCACAGAGACACTGAAATAGTTAGTTAATAAATTATCTTAACAGGCATGCTTATTTAAGATTGAGAGGAAAGCTTCCTACAGTTGTGTCAAGTTGGCTGGATGTCCTTTGGGTGGTGGACAATTCTTGATACACATGGGAAACTGTTGAGCGTGAAAAACCCAGCAGCATTTCAGTTCTTAACACAAACTGTTGCGCCTGGCACCTACAACAATACCCCGTTTTAAAGCACTTAAATCTTTTGTCTTGCCCATTCACCCCCTGAATGGCACAAATACACAATCCATGTATCATTTGTCTCAAGGCTTGAAAATCCTTATTTAACCTGTCTCCTCCCCTTCATCTACACTGATTGAAGTGGATTTCATACGTTTTGTATACTCTGTGTACAGTAGGCCTATAGCCTTCATACAGTGCCTTCGGAAAGTATTCAGACCAGTTGACTTTTTCCACATTTTGTTATTGTATTTTCCACGTATTGTATTTTCCACGTAGATTCCATGTCACAATACGCTGACAAATTACATTGAAACAACATTGATTTAACCAGTTTGTGCCCAGTGGGTAAAGACTGGTGTGTGTGTGTGTCTGTGCGTGTGTGTACCTTGTTGAACTGTGCCCAGGATACCAGCATGTTGCTGTAGTCTCCAGCGATGTCTGGCTTGTCAAAGATCTTTTGGGCCAGGAAGTGTTGGTTGTAGTTGTCTAGGCAACGCTGCGTTCCGACCTCCGACATGAACTTACTGTTCAGGGTCCTGCACATCTGCTTCCAGGGAACGCGTTCCGGAACCAAAAATGGAATCCTTTCCTGATGACGTCATAAGATTAGAGGTCAAATGTTGATGTTGTGAGAAAAGTGGGCAGACATACTGTTTAGTCTAGTGAAAATGTTAACTTGACTACTGTGTTGATAGTGGGTGTGATATGAGAGGGAAGAGAGTTGAGAGAGCGAGAGAGAGAGAGCGCAAGAGAGAGAGAGAGCGCGAGAGAGAGAGAGCGAGAGAGAGAGCGAGAGATGGCCAAATGCAGCAGGCACTCACTGGTTCAGAAAAGGCACAGTCCCAGATGATGGTTGCTAGGGCATTGTTATCCTGACTACCGTGAACTATCACCACCACTGGCACAGAGATCATCTACAAGCACACAGGAGATCAACACCATGTCAGTACAGCCATACTATTCACTGATAATCAAGACAAATGCTTACACTTTCCTTTCCATTGAGGATCTAAACTATGCTTGTACAGTGTGTCGTGAGATACTGTATATCTTGCAGTTCAAATTAATAACATTTTAGCCTGGGTGCCTGTCTGTTTCTGCTCTCTTGCCAACTCCTTATGGAATTGTCATGCCAATGACAGCAATGGTGTTGGCAAGAGCACAAACTGATCTGGGACCAGGTTAATAACACGTGTCACCCTGTCTGCATGTCTCAGACCTGCTGTGCTATAATACTGCTATTACCAAGACGTTAAGAGACAAAATATGTATTGCCAAGTTACCCAAAAGTGGTGTCATTCGAGCTTTGACATGTACCTGTACTTTTGATCTGTCTGTACAACTGTTATTGAATCTTGAATTGAATATTAACATTACAGAGGCCAAAGGGGTAAAGGGTTTAGAGGAGAGAAGTACACCTGACCTGTATTCTGTAGGGAATGTCACAGCCAGTGATGCTGATCTCTGTGGTGAAGAAGAGAGCAAACTTCTCCTCTGTCACAGACTCCGACCCCTTTCTGTCTGCTCGCTTGATCTTCTTTATAGACTGGAGGAAACGACAGAACAAGATAGATCACTTTACAAAGACTTTTAATTAGAATTTCGTTTTGACATAATTATAAGAATTTGAATTTTTCTTACATTTCCTTATGACTTAGAGAAGGATTTATTTTTCAAATCTTCAAATCTGGTTGATTAAAAAACATCCAGGCACATATGACATTACAGGAAGCTACACAAGAAGTTTGACAGTGCATGGTAAAAGCAAGGCTGCAGTACATACCATATTCCTGAAGGTGGCACATGTACTCTTGCTGGAAGTGTTGTGTTCCAAAATGGCTGTGTTATTTATCAACTCTCCAACATTCTCACTGGAATCGACAGAACAAAAACACGTATTTAGACTTGAATATAACTTCTTAAAGGCCTACAGTAGTATGATGAGTGACATCAGTGTCTTTTGAAGATTATGACTAATTGGCCAACTATGCTCTCTGTACAACTATTGGCAGCCAGCAAGGAAGTTGCTCACAGAAATGTGTTAAGGGACGGATCGACATTTACAGAATGGGTACCTGGAGGAAAATGGGGGAGGGTCATGCTTTTTAAATTTCAGTCAAGGGGAGGGTTTAGTATTTTTTTTTCAATCTAGACACGGGGAGGGTCATGTAATTTGTAATTGCTGAAATTTCAATATTTCTCAGTGTTTTAGAATTAGTTGCTTATATCGATGTGTGCCTGATGCCTCCCCTCATTTCTGATTCTCTTTTGGGCGCGCAATATCAAGTGCTCCTATAGGCTATTTAGTGTGGTCTCAATCAAATGATCCATAGCCTATAGGCTATGAAGTCCATGCTAAGAGAAGCACAAAGCAAAGTTATATTTCTATGAAAATGTCCTTCCTTCCTGAGTCTTTTGCGCTGCTGGGATAGTGTAAATAAAACTAGGCTGCATTAAACACTGCAATGGATATTCCGACCCTGAGCCCCGGCCTGCTCTGCTGTTGCTGATCAAAATGTATTTTTTGTGCTGCCTAACCAATGATGTGCTGTGTAGGCCTACAGTAGCAGTTCAGGAGAGTCAAAGAATTCTTCTGAAAATGATTTTTGATTAGGCCTAGTCCAGAACACGGACTAACCTATAGCCTATGTTCTGTTCAGTTTGAGAAGGAGAGCGTGAAGATGAGAAGGAGGACCGGAGGTCAACTTTGAGAGCTTGCTACTACTATAATTGATTTTAATAAAAACAATATGTTTCTTGTCCATTATGTATTTATCAGAGTGATTGACCTCACAATAAGCCAGATTTGAGTAACTTACATTGTGGTGCTGAAACTTGAAGCAGCAGCCGGGGTATAATCAATCGGAAATGGACAGCTCATTGTGTTGAAAGTAGGCAAATTCGAGTAGGCATAATTCATTTCAACATTCATTTTAATTAGACTTTACTTACAACAAGAGGGCTTTGTGTTGGACCCTATTTCTTCATATTTAAGAAATAAGAGGTAGGCCTACCTATTTGACACACAAAATTAGGCTATAGGCTGCTATATCCATAAATTTGTCGACCAATTTCTCCACCCACCATGCACTCTTAAAAAGCCTACCTCTGTGTCAGTGAAGGGCTGTTAAGTTAAAACCAGGACTTGAATTGAGGGGGTATGAGAAGGTATGCCATAAGCCTACTTTTTATTAAAGAAAATGACAAAAAGCACAGGCATTGTTAGCTTAAGATTCTGAAGAAAACTAAACGGATCCGATTATATAAAGTCCGTGATGCTTTATGCTAGAAACAAGGAAAGATGTGACTCCGATGTATATCATTGTTTAGTCTATTTGACATTCAGAGGCTGACCTACAACCTTTTATAGCTGAGGAGACAAAAAATTGACTTTGCTTGGGAAGTAAACTAATTCTGTCACTATCAATTGATTAAGCTATTTACTTTCTGTACAATAGAAGATGTTTAAACCCAGACAGCTTTTAGAGAAACACTTGGGACCCTCTCTTGTTACGTGAAGCCACAACCTTTTGGCCCTGTGCGCTAGTCCTGTGTAGCTCAGTTGGTAGAGCATGGTGTTTGCAACGCCAGGGTTGTGGGTTCGTTTCCCACGGGGGACCAGTATGAAAAAAATAAAAATATGTATGAACTCACTACTGTATGTCACTCTGGATAAGAGCGTCTGCTAAATGACTAAAATGTAAAATGTTAAGCCATGGAAGAGGAGTAGCCAGCAGTTAATGTTTACATTTTTCTGAGTTGGTAGGCCTACTCTGATGAACACAGGCTTATCTCTCTGTCCATTCTTAGCCTGTAATTTTGGCCATTTGTGTGGTATAAAAAAATATGTAAAATGACATAGAATTGCAAGAAATTTGTATAAACTGCACTTTTTCTTGGACCTGCAAATACAATGATAAATTCATGCAACGCTTTTACTATAAAGGAGATATTTCCACCCATACTCTTGTCCACGGTGGTCTGTGAAGCCACAACCTTTTGGCCCTGTGCGCTATCAAAATGCCTGCGTTGCCATGTAATGCTTACAGGATGAAGAACAGTTTCTAAAACGGCATATCTAAGGCTCTGTCATGACTTCCGCCGAGGCTGCCTCCCCTCCTTGTTCGGGCAGGCTTCGGCGTTCGTCGTCACCGGCTTACTAGCCACTGCCGCTCCATATATCATCATTCCATTTGTCTTGTCTTGTCAATTACACACACCTGGTTCATATCCCCTCATTAGTCCATGTATAAGTGCTCCCTCTGCCCCCTTGTCCTTGTGGGTGATTGTTTTATGTGAGTTGAGTGTAGCTCGGTGGAGCTACTCGTACCTTGTATTGCCGGGGTAGATTATTCCCCTGTGCCTGTATTTTGTTGGAGCTACCCGTACCTTGTATTGCCGGGGTAGATTATTCCCCTGTGCCTGTATTTTGTTGGAGCTACCCGTACCTTGTATTGCCGGGGTAGATTATTCCCCTGTGCCTGTATTTTGTTGGAGCTACCCGTACCTTGTATTGCCGGGGTAGATTATTCCCCTGTGCCTGTATTTTGTTGGATCTACTCATACCTTGTATTGCCGGGGTAGATTATTCCCCTGTGCCTGTATTTTGTTGGAGCTACTCGTACCTTGTATTGCCGGGGTAGATTATTCCCCTTTGCCTGTATTTTGTTGTCGCTATCTAGCGCAACTGTGTACGACGGAATAAACTCTGTATTCAGTGATTTACCCTCCTGCGCCTGACTCCTTCTAATCACATTAATCACAGGCTCTGGTCTGTCCAAGAAGTCAGGGTAAACGGTAGACATGTTCTCTGCTATCCACTTTGTTTTAATCATTATTTTGGGTATAGGGGACGGTCATTTTGTTTTCTTTTAAGCATTCCGGGAGGGTTTAGGTCAAATATATTTTGCTGAAGGGAGGGCCATCCATTTTCATTCCAGAGCGGTCAGATTTTCTCCATGTAACCCTTATTATAAATAACGTTCACTCTCTGAGAGAAGACTCTTCTTTGGCCATCTTGTCATGGGTTTACAATATTTTCTAGGGCAACGTCTTGAGTATGCTAGTTTGTATGCATTTTATCTAAGTGACTGTGTGGGCTAAGTGTAAACAAGTAATAGAGGAAGCCAAATGCTAGCAGTCATATGTAAACAAAGAAATAGACAATCTTAAATGAGTTTGAGGAAGTTCATTTAACTTCCTCAATCCAAAATCTCCCACTGGTGGAAAAATGATGTAGACTACAAAAGGACATTTGGCAGGAGCTTTAACAGACCAATTCACCTCTATAGCTTTTCTCTACCTTCTGATCACAAACCATGTCATGGCATTCCTGGGTCTGGGATAACAATGCTTCATGTCTCATACAGTGGGTATTATAAGTATTCACCCCCCACCCCTTGAATTTTTCCCACATTTTGTTGCGTTACAAAGTGTTATTGAAATAGATTTAGTTGTGATTTTTTTGGTCATTGATCTCCACAAAATACTCCATAATGTCAAAGTAAAAAGCAAATTCTAATATTTCTTCCAATTAACACAAATTACATAACAAAAATATAGTCGTTGCATAGCCTAAATTTCACACAGGAGTAAAATTTGGCTTAACAAATCACATAATAAGTTGCGTAGACTCACTCTGTGTGAAATAATAGGGGTTGACATGATTTTTGAATGACTAACTCTTCCTCTGTCCTCCATACATACAACATCTGTAAGGTCCCTCAGAAAAGAAGAATACAACTATACAGAATAAAAATATTCCAAAACATGCATACTGTTTGCAACAAGGCACTAAAGTAATACTGCAACAAACAAAAAAACACGGCAGAGGAATACATTTTTGGGCCTAAATGTAAAGCCTTACGTTTGGGGCAAATCCAACATAACACATCACTGAGTAACTCCCTCCTTATTTTCCAGCATGGTGATGGCTGCATCTGCTTGACATCTGCAAAGACTGGGGAGTTTTTCAGGATAAAAAGAAACGGGATGGAGCTAAGCACAGGCAAAATCCTAGAGGAAAACCTGCTTCAGTCTGCTTTAAGCCAGACACTGGGAGAGGAATTCACCTTTCAGCAGGAAAATAACTTACAACACAAGGCCAAATCTACATTGGACTTGCTTACCAAGAAGACAGTGAATGTTCCTGAGTGGTCCACGTTACAGTTATGACTTCAATCTGCTTGAAAATCTAAGGAAGACTTGAAAATTGCTGTCTAGCCATGATCCCCAACACACTGACAGAGCTTGAAGAACTTTGAAAAGAAGAATGGGCAAATATTGCACAATCCAGGTGTGTAAAGCTCTTAGAGACTTACCCAAGACTCACAGCTGTAATCGCTGCCAAAGGTGTTTCTAACCTGTATTGACTTAGGGGGTGAATACTTATTTAATCAAGGTATATATTGTGTTTTATTTTTCCTCCACTTTGATTATGTTGTGTAGATCATGGACAAAAAGGTAGCTTTGCGGTTAAAAGTGTTGGGCCAGTAACCAAAAGTTTGCTGGTTCGAATCCCAGAGCCGACTAGGTGAAAAATGTGCCCTTGAGCAAGGCACTTAACCCTAATTGCTCCTGTAAGTCGCTTTGGATAAGACCGTCTGCTAAATGACTCCAATGTAAAAAATGACATTTTAATCCCACTTTGTAACACAATAAAATGTGAAGAAATCCAGGGGGGTGAATACTTATGATACCCACTGTAGTTCAGCAAGACAGTAGCGATGCTAACTTAACCATCCACCACAGTGTTTTTCAACATCCTGTTCGCTGATGGAAGCATTCCTCAACCTCACAGGAGGAAGGACCATAACGTGCTGGTCCCGACACAAAAAAGACTGTAGCTTGCCTGTCCCTGGTACAAAAAAGGTTGAGAAGCAATCCGCTACATCACTGACCTGGGTACACAGCCCAGCTGTCCGAGGTTCCTAGCCTGGGCCTCAGTGATGATCTGGGCCTTGAGGAGGACTGGTTTCCCGGGTGCCACTTTCTCCCCCAGCAGGTAGCGCACCGTGGTGGAGAACTTAGACTGGGTCTTAATCACCTGGGGAGGCTGCTTGTCCACCATCAGGGAGCTGTAACCATAGAAATAGAATTTGTAGAATGATCAATGGGTCTGTGATGTGTGGACTGGTAGCCATAATGACCCCACCAGAGAGCTGCAACAGGACAGCACAGGAGAGGAAACATGACTTAGTAAAATGAGTCAATAGTATGCTGGTATGTGCGCACTACTAAAGGTTTCTATAGGAATGGGGTGCTTGTCTGGGGAAACATTGTCAATTCTGAGCATTTCCTGAAAAAGGAAAATAACACCCAAACATGATGACTAGCAACAACAATATGACTCAGGCATAACACTAGGTGGTAGAAAGGCCCTCCCACTGCACAAATTGGTTGAATCAACGTTGTTTTCATGTAATTTCAACAAAAAATATATGTGATGACGTTGAATAAACATGGAAAACTGATTGGATTTGCAAAAAGTCATCAACGTAAAGGAATTTTGTGAATGTTTTTTTTTTTTACCCAACTTTTAACCTAAACATCTTTTAAATATTTGTTGATTGCACATAGAATTCACGTTAGTTGACAACTCAATCAAATGTAAATCAAATCAAAACTAGATGTTGAACTGACATCTGTGTCCAGTGGGCTGGCTGACTGGCAGGTCATAAAGGACAACGTTAGTCAATGACCTAAGTGGGTTCCCAGTAGTTTAGTTTTCAAACTGAAGACATTTCAGTGAAGGCAAATGTGTTTTCTAATACATAATACCACTACATTAACGAATTAGATCACTATCAAACATATCAAGAAAACACAAAGCTGTATTTGAATAAGCCTACAGTTGGGTTGAAAGCACAGTCAATGAGGGATAACTTCAGTGTCATTGACTGAGATAAGCTTTTATTGTCTGTTTCCACAGAAATTTGATTTGCATCTTTAAAACTCCTTACAGGACATATAATTTCTCATGGACAGACTACGTAAACATAAATGGTATCAAATAATACACGATTTTAGTTCTGGGTTAACCGAGATTACAGGACAATACAAAATACAAAACATATAGAGGACAGGGGACTTTTTAGGGGACTATGCAAGTGATTAAGAACATAGAACTAACAGCATTCCCTATATAGTGCACTACATTTTTAACCAGTCTTATTGGCCCTGGTCATAAGTAGCACACTGTTATAGGTGACACAACCGACCTCTGGATTAGAGTTTGCAGCAGACGTCCCAGTTTCTCTTGCAGCTCTGGGATTGGCTCCCCGGCCAGCATCACTTCCTGTCTCAACTTCCCGTTCACCCCCAAGAGTTGTTCACACCTCGAAGAGGAAGAGAGAGGGTGTTAAATTAAATCAGAGAGAAGGGGGAGGGAGATAGATAGGGGGGAGGTAGAGAGAGAGTAGGGAAATAGACAGAGGGATGGGGGAGGGAGGGAGAGCGAGCGAGAGGTGGGGGGTAGGTGAGGGAGAGAGAGAGAGAGAGAAATGGCAGAAGGTCACAAAGCAATATCACACTTCAAATCATACATCTGCAAACATAAACAAATGTTTGTGTGTGTCATAACTGATTAGACAAACCAGTCATTCACAGAGGATTAACCTTTACAGACAGTTTGCATAAAAAGGCTCTAATTTTCAAACACAACACACGTGGATTGAACATTTGCTTAACCAATCGGAAACTTGAGAGTCTTCATTTGTATAGGTGTTTACCCATAGGCTTTAGCTTTTTAATAGTTATTTGCCTAGATAAGTTGTTTTACAGTGGGGGAAAAAAGTATTTAGTCAGCCACCAATTGTGCAAGTTCTCCCACTTAAAAAGATGAGAGAGGCCTGTAGTTTTCATCATAGGTACACGTCAACTATGACAGACAAATTGAGAAAAAAAAATCCAGAAAATCACATTGTAGGATTTTTAATGAATTTATTTGCAAATTATGGTGGAAAATAAGTATTTGGTCACCTACAAACAAGCAACATTTCTGGCTCTCACAGACCTGTAACTTCTTCTTTAAGAGGCTCCTCTGTCCTCCACTCGTTACCTGTATTAATGGCACCTGTTTGAACTTGTTATCAGTATAAAAGACACCTGTCCACAACCTCAAACAGTCACACTCCAAACTCCACTATGGCCAAGACCAAAGAGCTGTCAAAGGACACCAGAAACAACATTGTAGACCTGCACCAGGCTGGGAAGACTGAATCTGCAATAGGTAAGCAGCTTGGTTTGAAGAAATCAACTGTGGGAGCAATTATTAGGAAATGGAAGACATACAAGACCACTGATAATCTCCCTCGATCTGGGGCTCCACGCAAGATCTCACCCCGTGGGGTCAAAATGATCACAAGAACGGTGAGCAAAAATCCCAGAACCACACGGGGGGACCTAGTGAATGACCTGCAGAGAGCTGGGACCAAAGTAACAAAGCCTACCATCAGTAACACACTACGCCGCCAGGGACTCAAATCCTGCAGTGCAAGACGTGTCCCCCTGCTTAAGCCAGTACATGTCCAGGCCTGTCTGAAGTTTGCTAGAGTGCATTTGGATGATCCAGAAGAGGATTGGGAGAATGTCATATGGTCAGATGAAACCAAAATATAACTTTTTGGTAAAAAAAACTCGTTGTGTTTGGAGGACAAAGAATGCTGAGTTGCATCCAAAGAACACCATACCTACTGTGAAGCATGGGGGTGGAAACATCATGCTTTGGGGCTGTTTTTCTGCAAAGGGACCAGGGCGACTGATCCGTGTAAAGGAAAGAATGAATGGGGCCATGTATCGTGAGATTTTGAGTGAAAACCTCCTTCCATCAGCAAGAGCATTGAAGATGAAACGTGGCTGGGTCTTTCAGCATGACAATGATCCCAAACACACCACCCGGGCAACGAAGGAGTGGCTTCGTAAGAAGTATTTCAAGGTCCTGGAGTGGCCTAGCCAGTCTCCAGATCTCAACCCCATAGAAAATCTTTGGAGGGAGTTGAAAGTCCGTGTTGCCCAGCGACAGCCCCAAAACATCACTGCTCTAGAGGAGATCTGCATGGAGGAATGGGCCAAAATACCAGCAACAGTGTGTGAAAACCTTGTGAAGACTTACAGAAAACGTTTGACCTGTGTCATTGCCAACAAAGGGTATATAACAAAGTATTGAGAAACTTTTGTTATTGACCAAATACTTATTTTCCACCATAATTTGCAAATAAATTCATTAAAAATCCTACAATGTGATTTTCTGGATTTTTTTTCCTCATTTTGTCTGTCATAGTTGACGTGTACCTATGATGAAAATTACAGGCCTCTCTCATCTTTTTAAGTGGGAGAACTTACACAATTGGTGGCTGACTAAATACTTTTTTTCCCCACTGTATATGGATGGATGCAGTCAGGTATGCGTGCGCATGGAGGTATGTGCAGGTGGGCATGTGTCTGCGCGTATGTACATGGGCTCAGTATGCTTGAGGGTATCATAGCTTCTCAGGTGTCTGAACATCTTTGTGGTATGGGTGACTGTTTACAGGTAGCCTATGTGAGTAGATCTCTATGTTTATGAAGGGATGCTGTTGTTATGCATATTTGACTCAGGTCTCTGCTCTCTACCCCCGCATTGATGTTGACTGTGATATGTCATTGTAATATCTTTCCTGCTAAAATAAATATATGAATACATTTAAAACATACTTTTTTATTTTCTCTGCTGCTACAGGCCTCGCCTGTCACACCCTGGCTCTGGGACTCTATATGTTGAGCCAGGGTGTGTTCATTCTATGTGTTCTGTTTCTTTGTTTGGGTGTTCTAGGTTGTCTGTTTCTATGTTTGCCTGTGTGACTCCCAATCAGAGGCAACGAGTGTCAGCTGTCGGCTGGTTGTCTCTGATTGGGAGCCATATTTAAACTGTATGTTTTCCCTTGGGTGTTGTGGGTTTTTGTTCCGTGTTCGGTCATTGTCACAGTGGACTTCACGAGTCGTGTTTTGTTTTGTTTTGTTTGGTATACTTTAACTATTAAAGTCATGTTTGTTTCTCACGCTGCGCCTTGGTCTACTCATTACTACGACGATCGTGACAGAAAAACCCACCATACCAGGACCAAGCAGCGTGTCCAGGAACACACGCAGGAGGTGACTCTTGTGGATGTCCTCCTCGGTTGGGGGCAGATTACTGAGGAGGAGGCCATCCGGTACCGGAAGGCGATAAAGGGGGAGACCCAGGCAGGAGAGGAGCAGCGGCGCCAAACGGGTCAACGTCGGACAGGCGAGAGGCAACCCCAAGAAATTTTTAGGGGGGGCACACGGCATGGGCGACTGGGCAGCAGGAGGCTGCCACAGGGCGAAATGGGAGACGAGGAGAGAAGGCCACCGGGTTACGGGAGCCATTGGCGAGAGGAGGGAAGGAAGTTGTAGAGGCACGGCGAGAGGTACTGAGGTGTATTGCCAGTCCGGTCCGGCCCGTTCCTGATCCCCGTTTAAGGCCAGTGGTGTGTGTTCCCAGTACGGTCCGGCCTGTCCCTGCTCCACGCACCAAGCCTACGGTGTGCGTCGACAGCCCAGCCCGGCCTGTCCCTGTTCCACGCACCAAGCCTACGGTGCGCGTCGCCAGCCCGGCCCGGCTCGTTCCTGCCACTCGCACCAAGCCAGGGGTGCGAGTCGTCAGTCCGGCACAACCCGTGCCTGGGTCATCGGTGCCAGATCAGGTACCGCTTTATTGCTCCCCAACGGAGCTGAAGCTAGCCGCTCCTGCTACGTCCAGGTCAGGTCCAGCCAGCGGAGCCAGACTGGACCAGGGGCGCTATGGGGGGTTCATTGGAGGGTGGTGGTCAAGGCCGGAGGCAGAACCGCCGCCGAGGAGGTATGCCCGCCCAGCCCTCCCCTGTTTTGCTTTAGTTGAGGCGCGGTCGCAGTCCGCGCCTTTAGGGGGGGGGTACTGTCACACCCTGGCTCTGGGACTCTATATGTTGAGCCAGGGTGTGTTCATTCTATGTGTTCTGTTTCTTTGTTTGGGTGTTCTAGGTTGTCTGTTTCTATGTTTGCCTGTGTGACTCCCAATCAGAGGCAATGAGTGTCAGCTGTCGGCTGGTTGTCTCTGATTGGGAGCCATATTTAAACTGTATGTTTTCCCTTGGGTGTTGTGGGTTTTTGTTCCGTGTTCGGTCATTGTCACCGTGGACTTCACGAGTCGTGTTTTGTTTTGTTTAGAAACTTTAACTAATTAAAGTCATGTTTGTTTCTCACGCTGCGCCTTGGTCTACTCATTACTACGACGATCGTGACATCGCCCTGTCTGCAGAGGGCTGAGGTTATTGCCAAAACCAATTACGCACACATGCACACACACACACAAAGTACTTAAGTAAAAATATTTAAAGTACTACTTAAAGAGCCACTGAACACGTCAATTGGCACGTGTGTTTTTCTGTTGCTCATTAGAAAAACAAGATTTCAGTCTTGGAGGTGTGTTTCCTGACCGATTCCAAGTTTGGTTAATAATGTTTATGCCACATGAGACACTGTAGACGTGGAAGCCTATTTCACTTTATCATAATCCCCAGAATGACTCTAAGATAACTCAAGAAATCTGCAATAAATTGATGTTTTTAACGAGGATGTTTTAGTTGCCCAATTTTACATCCAACTAAGGTGTTTGGTGCAGTATTTCTCAAGAAAAAATGCACGACGTGTTGTCTTATGTAAACAAAGTCGGAGCTGCTTGGTAGGTCTGTCTCACCGTCTATGCTATTGGATAGAGAGCAATCACTGCAGCTGTTCACCCCATGTTTGTGGCCAAATGGACATTGTCAAATCAAATCAAAACCCAACCTTAGATTTACCCGTTGTGACGCATGAATGTTCCAATCTCCGCTTTAGACGAGACAGTTTATGACCAAAATGATGCTATTTACACTCTGTTGTCCATTTTGACACTAGAATAACAGTTTCTGACTCATATTGATGCCACATAGTTTTCAAAGGGATTCATTGCTTTTTAAAGGCAGTCGCTCTTTAAGTATTTTATTTGGGGTATCTGTACATTACTTTACTAGTTTGTGTTTTTGACAACTTTTACTTTTATTTAACTACATTCCTAAAGATAATATGTACTTTTTACTCCATATATTTTCCCTGACACATTTTCACTTTTACTCAAATCATTTTCTATTAAGGTATCTTTACTTTTACTCAGGTATGACATTTTGTACTTTGTCCACCACTGCACACACATACACACACGCACGCACAGGCCTCACCATGTCTGCAGAGGGCTGAGGTTGTCATCGAAGGGGTGTCCGATAGTAGCTTGATGCTGTTCCCACCTCCAGGCTTTGATCCTGTTGATCAGACGAGACTGACACTTCTCCAGACTAGACACTGCCTCCTGGAGCAGCTGAACACGCTTCTGCAAACACACACGCACGCACACACGCACAGTTTAGCTTATAGAGAGAGAGTTATGCAGAGAAAGGCGAACACAGTTTTCAGTACAGGGAAACTCCGGCCTTATGGAGGCAAACAGTTCATACAGGGAGAGACACACAAACATAGTTTAGATGGCCGTCCGGTCATAGAGAGCCAATTAGAGTACAGGTATAGCAGGATCACGTTCAGAAGGGCACACCGTAGCAAAATTTTTGCAACAGAAATCTGTGTTCTAATTGGACAACTTCAGGTATAGTCTCTCATGACAGACGTAACAATAGCAGGCTCACACGTGAGAACAACAATTGTGTGTGTTACGTAATAGCTTACCTTGGCTATGACTTGGCCATTGTACTCATGCTGTTTGATGTTATTCTGGAGTTTGGTGACTTCTGACATGCTGGAGTCCATCCCATTGGTATGGGTCTGCTGGATAGTGCCTGTCACCCAATTAAATACAATATAATACATGAAGGTTGTATCTTTATTGGGCCTGCAAAGGCTGCGTTTACACATGCAGCCAAATTTGGATATTAATACTAATAGGTCTTTTGACCAACCACATCAGATATTTTCACATCAGCTCGTTTTCAGAGCTAATCTGATTGGTCAAAAGACCAATTAGTGAAAAGAATATCAGAATTGGGCTGGCTGTGTAAACGCAGCCAAAGTAGCCTTGTCCGAGCCAGAATGGCCCATAGGCCAGGAGCCTATCTCCTGTTTCTATAGCGTGAGGCAGCTGTACAAGTCAGGGAGAACGACTGCCCCCTCTCACTGAAGCCAAGGAAGTTCAAGGACGACCGTGCTGCCTCTAGCATTGCTGCCTCTAGCATTGAATTGGAATAGAATCTGGCTTGCAGTTGGCGTTCCAATTCATCCCAAAGGTGTTCGATGGGGTTGAGGTCAGGGCTCTGTGCAGGACAGTCAAGTTCTTCCACACCAATCTCGACAAACCATTTCTGTATGGACCTCGCTTTGTGCACCAGGGAATTGTCATGCTGAAACAGGAAAGGGCCTTCCTAAAACTGTTGCCACAAAGTTGGAAGCACAGAATTGTCTAGAATGTCATTGTATGCTGTAGCGTTAAGATTTCCCTTCAGTGGATCTAAGGGGCCTAGCCCGAACCATGAAAAACAGACCCAGACCATTATTTCTCCTCCACCAAACTTTACAGTTGACGATATGCATTCGGGCAGGTAACGTTCTCCTGGCATCCGCCAAACCCAGATTTGTCCGTCGGACTGTCAGGTGGTGAAATGTAATTAATCACTCCAGAGAACGCGTTTCCACTGCTCCAGAGTCCAATGGTGGCGAGCTTTACACCACTCCAGCCGATACTTGGCATTGCGCATGGTGATCTTCGGCTTGTGTGCGGCTGCTCGGCCATGGAAACCCATTTCATGAAGATCCCGACGAACAGTTCTTGTGCTGATGTTTCCACTTCACAATAACAGCACTTACAGTTGACCGGGGCAGCTGTAGCAGGGCAGACATTTTACAAACTATCTTGTAGGAAAGATGGCATCCTATGATGGTGCCACGTTGAAAGTTACTGAGCTCTTCAGTACAGGCCATTCTACTGCCAATGTTTGTCTATGGAGATTGCATGGCTGTGTGCTCGGTTTTATACACCTGGCAGCAACAGGAGTGACTGAAATAGCCGAATCCACTAATTTGAAGGGGTGTCCACATACTTTAGGCCAAGTGTAGTTGACAAACTAGTCTGAGCATGAGTAATAATCCATACAATAAATGTAGGTTGTGTCCCAAATGGCAATAACCTATTCCCTATACATAGTGCACAACTTTTTAACAGAGCCTATGGGCCCTGGTCAAAAGTAGTGCACTATATAAGGAATAGGGTGCCATATGGGCCAATTTGCCAATTTGTCTGAACATTTAACCCAGATCAAAGAAGTATGTTGTGTTAAATTCTGTAGCTCCCTTCCAGATTTGTTAGGTTCCAACTGGCTCAACTGGTATGTATGCCGCTAGCAACGACAAGGTTGTGGGCTCAATTCCCACAGGGATTACAAACACAAAAAATTTATGGACTCAATATACAATATATATAATATAAATATATACAGTCTTTTTGGATAAAAGTGTCTGCTGAGTGGCATATAGGGACGAATCCTAACCTCCACTAAAGTCACATTTTACGTCACATCCCATAAAAGTCCATGCATGACTAAGGGGGAAATCTTACTTAAAGATATGCTCCGGAACTTTAGCAACAAGTATTTTTAAAACTTGGGCTGGATGTGTCAATGTGTAGTTCATACATGCATAATCTATGAGCAGAATTACTGTTTTACCTCAATTAGCCACAAAATCCCTAGTTTTAAAGCGACTATTTACTAGAAGCTGTGCGGTGCCATTTTCCCTACATTTTCCCCCACGTGGACCAGCCCACAAGCAATTCGAGTTCCAGCCAATGAGATTCAGCCCCTCGCCATTTGACAGCTAGCAAGACGCACAATAAAGTGGTGCACATATCTGCACATAATGTATGCCCGCATGACTAAGTCGATTTGGATAAAAATGTCTGCTAAATGGTATATATTATTATATTATATGTGCCATAGCATGCCATTTTCGGCGACCACTTTTGGCTCTTGAGCGCTACTTCCAGAACTACTTGCTAAAAAGTATACAAAAGTAACAGATCATCTCTTTAACCCCAGCCATCTCTCGCCCCGGAATGGATTCATAGTTCTGCCTCTCCCATAGCTATTCACTACGCAAATGCTCAGCTCGAATTAGCATTACAGCTAATTAAGACATGTTTTGCTATGGGGAAATGCTAACGGTTCCCTGTCTTAATAATACGTGTTTTTGGTATTTCTCACCCTGAATGGACTCATAGTTCTGCCTCTCCCAGTTGAGCTCCTCCTGCAGCTGGTGGATCTGCTGTCTGCAGTCCTGGATCTCCAGCACCTTGAGCACCAGCATGTCCACATCTCTGGTGGTGTGGGCTACAGCCATGGAATCCTGGGCTGGGGGTTGAGAGATGTGGGCTAGGGCCGGGATCTGGGTAGACTAAGGAGGGGGAAGACAAAGTATTAGAGGTTCGTCTCTGGTGGTGGTGGCAGGGGCCATGGGTTCCTGGGCTGGGTTGGGGCCAGGGGGAAGTGGAGTGAGGGGATCTGGGTAGACTATGGAGGAGGGGGGCGGACTGGTATTACCTATTATGCCCACATATTAAACATTCAAATGTTTTAAAAGTCAAATAGTCCATTTTCTTTTTACACACAGCTTTCTTATCATATTAACAATCAAAAACATATATTGTGTTGGAAGTGAGCTTCTGTGGTTTCTGTGGCCCTCCTATGTGCCACAAGACTGTGTTGGTACGCTGAGCTAAAGGCTCTGTTACACTTACCGCCTGACTGAGCAGCTCTCTCTCCTTCCTCAGGACATCTCTGACTGTGAGCACCAGCTGGAGGGGCTGGGAACGGAACATACTCTGGAAGACAGGCAGAGTTCCCATCAACCACCAGACCACATCCACATAGTCAGGTCAGTTGATTCAATTAAAGATGACAATATTACTGAGGACAACATGTTCCCTCTGAGTACTGAGAACTGTTAGCTTGGTCCAAGATCTGTTTGTGCTATCTTGCTAACTCCATGTGTGACAATTCCATAAGGAGTTGGCATGAGAGCAGAAACAGACTGGCACCCAGGCTACTGAACTGTATGTTTTAAAACCTGTATTTTCTGGGTTGTCATTCAAGGTTAGGGTTAGGTCAATGCATAAAGAATGTCACTCAAGAGCATGAATATCCAGAAACAAAAGGCTTTATTTGACCTTTTTCCATTTCAACAGAGCTGAACTATCTCCCACTATGGGCCCCTCTATCTCTCCTTTGTCCTTGCTCTTGGCCTCTTACTTGACCCATTCTTGCAAACAGCAACTCAGAGAGAGGTGACCTCTTTTATGCATGCATAAGGACTGATTGCTGATTGAACAATTGTGCAAAGAAGTTTTGCACACGTACAGAAGAGGTTCACATTCATGGGACATTCATTGTATCAGCTGTGACCAATTTTCTTTTTTTTAAATGATTTACTCAACTGAGTTTTTCGTATTTTGTAGAGTTGTGTTAACTGTTTAGCAAAAATGTGCTTAGCATTTGCATTGTGTGTGAAAGCAATGAGAAATACGGTTGTGCTCATTAGGTTATGATGGAGATCAAGTGGACCCCAGTTTCAATAAAAGTGTCTTAGCAATCGAGAAAAACTGTAAATACTTGGATGGCTCACAACTTCCTGCTGCTAAATCAAGATAAGACTGAGGTTCTTATTGTTGGACAGAAAGAGAATCTGCTGCACATTTTAATTCACTGGCAATAAAGATAAAACACCAGGTAAAAGATGTTGGGGTTTGGGTAAGAGTTAGGGAAAATTGGATTTTACTCCCCAAAAAGTCCTGACAAGTGTGTGTGTGTGTTTGGTGGAGAGGATAAGTGTGTGTGTGTGTGTGTGCGTGTGTGTATCTATTGTACCATGTTCCTGGAGATGTGCTGCAGCCTCATCTTTTCCACCACGTTGGGGTTCTGCCCGGCCAGACTCTGTAGGCAGGATATGATCTGATCCAGTAGGGTCAGAGCCTGGGGCTTCTGGTCTACCTTCTCTGGCTCAAAGTCCTCCCTAGAGAGAGAGAGAGAGTATGAGAGGGAGCGAGAGAGAGAGAGAGAGAGAGCGAGAGAGAGAGAGCGAGCGAGAGAGAGCAAGAGATTAGGGTGCATTTGTCCCCTTTTCCACTTTTATTTGTGCAAATTCAGACTGTATGTGTGCTTTATGTGTGCGTGCATGCATTCTTGCATGAGTTTTTGTGTCATACCATCTCTGCTCCTCGATCCAGTTGGCCAGGTAGCACCTGACGTCCATGGGAAAGGAGGGGGAGTAGAGCTCGTTGAGGGTCTGTGTGGCCAGATAGGGAATCAGCTGTTTCATCTGCGTCCACTGTGCCATGGTGAAGCAGATCTGGAAAAGACAGGAATAAAGGACATTGAATGATGTAATATATCCATAAACATACACGCTGAATCACAAATAGCACACTATTCCCTATATAGTGCATAATTATTTTACCAGACCCTCAATTCAATCAAACCCACATTGGTGTAGTATTAACACAGGAAATCACAGTTGGTTTCAGTTAATGTGTCAGCTAATGTAGCTTTGATTAAATACCATCCTAAACAAAAGGTAATAGGGAATACTTGAGATAAATATGTGAATATAAATCCATCATAAAGAGGTCATTTCTTTACAGCAGATTGACAGGAGGTCAATGTTAGGTCCATGCGTCATACATTTACATTTACATTTTAGTCATTTAGCAGACGCTCTTATCCAGAGCGACTTACAGTTAGTGAGTGCATACATTATTTAATTTTTTTCATACTGGCCCCCCGTGGGAATCAAACCCACAACCCTGGCGTTGCAAACACCATGCTCTACCAACTGAGCTACATCCCTGCCGGCCATTCCCTCCCCTACCCTGGACGACGCTGGGCCAATTGTGCGCCGCCCCATGGGTCTATACAAACACCAAAACACCAGAGGGGTATACTACGAAGCAGCATCAGGATCGAGGATGTGGCAATTTTTTTAAAAGATAAGCTTGAAATGGGCATGGTCTAATTGATTTAATGAACAAAAATACATATCTAAGTTTAGCTATAGTTATTTATTGTCAATTGGATCACAACAAATATTGTTGCTTATCAAAGTTAGCTGGCTAACTCTTTGATTCTGCTTTGTAGTATACCCCTCAGAACAGTCAATAGGTCACTGTGTATACAGTCACTTCCAGACATGTAAATTATCATCCTAACTCAGTAATAAAATAACATAAGTCCCCAACAGGACAGGACAGGGTCTGAGACAAATCGTTGTTTTTATCATGTCCATCTAGTGTTATTTTAATAACGCAATGCCATCACCTCTAAACAGATTAAAGCAACAAAAACATTGCTATGAGAACTACAGAAGAAATACAGTGTAAATGTAAGACTTGCCGAGCAGACAATACATGGCAGTTTGCCAAGTAGGATATACAGTACAGAACAAGACAAGACAGTTGTGAGACTGATCCCAATCTATTTTGTTCTGAGTGTTCTAAATCTGGAGCACGGGAGGAGAGGATAGCACAAGACATGCAGACAATAAATGTCTGTGTGCAAAGTGAGGATATAGAGAGGGCCAAGTCCCCAACAAGACAATAGAATGACTGACCCCCAATCTATCTTGTTCTGGGTGTTCTGAAATCTGTTTTTGGAAGGACAGGAGAGGCTAGCACTTCCTGTGTTGTTTTTATCTTTGGCCCACACGTGTAGCTATTCTAGAGCCAAGAGATGACAATACAGAAACGACGGTATTGTGTTTCAGTGTTGTTTCACATAGCTGAATATTGTCACAACTTAATACACCTAGCCTATAGCTTAATACATTCATCTGTAAAACAAAAAGTAAAGAGTAAAGGTAAAGTGTGGTATTACTGTGTAACATGGGGTGAAAAGCACCAATACTGTATCTGATACTGTCACGGATTCCGCCGAGGCTGCTCCTCCTCCTTGCTCGGGCAGGCTTCGGCGGTTCGTCGTCCCCGGAATACTAGCTACTACCGTTTGATGTTTTCGATGTTTGTTTTGTCATGTCTAGTTAGTGCACCTGTTTCGTATTTTGTATTGATTATGTCACCTATAAGTTCCCCTATGTTATGTTTGTATCTTGTGTGTTATTGTTCCACCTGTCGTGTTTAGATAGGTTCGGTGCCTTGGCTCTACTTAGTTGTTTACGCACTCCGCGTATTTTGTCTCTTCGTGTTTTACGCACTGCGCGTAATTGTTCGCCTTCCAGTGTTCTGAGGCCGTTTATTTTGTATTCTATTTTCAAGTGATAGTAAAGTCGTTTTGACTTATCCTCTGTGTCCTGCGCTTGACTCTACCACCGCATCCACTCTGACAGATACTGTAGAGCTGGGACGATAAACTGAAAATTATTAACACTGACCATACCGATCACTTATCGCAGGCATTTTGACGATAATGTTCATTACGATAAGTAGCCTATACTAGAGAAATGTGAAGTTTGAAATGAAATACGTTTGCTCATTTGGGTGATTGTTAATGGGACAATTGATGGCTACAACTGTCAAAGTTGCGTCAATTCAAATCTGGCATTAGGAACAAAAGAGGTCAACACGACTTCTAAGATATACTAGTTATTTTAATTAATGCAAAAACCTTCAATGGTAAATATGATGTTTCGTATATACGGGCTCTCCGAAATACCCCGCAGGGCACTTCAGAGAACTAATCCACTGTTTCAGATTGTTCTTCAAATACTCTTATAGAGAGAGTTTCCCACCTCTCTGCTGGCCAATCAGAGTAGAGACTTGAGCGTGGTTTAGACTTACTCAGCCTATCCGTTGGCGCACCGGCTGTTCCCCGCCTCTTCTGTTACCAGGCATACGTTTATCATAACAACCTGTCATAGTGAGAAGAGCCAGTTCCCCTAGACACCATTCCTACGTCCAAGGATGGTTCACAGATCACAAAGGACCAGTATAGTCTAGTATTTGGAGACACAAATTATTATCTTATCTTAACTCCTAAAACAGCTCTTCACATCAATCACAGCCTGCCAGGTGACACAACCTACATTAGCCCAGTCAAGAATGTATTCTTTCTAAGTTAGTCATCCCATCAATTATGAGAATAATAAATCTCTCACACAACCATCAAACTAGTAGTAGTAGTTTAAAGGATAATACATCAAAAAAACTGTGGTGCACATTAATGTTATAAACGTATTGCTCTATTTTATCGTTATCGCATCAATTCAGGCAATTTATCGTGTTATGGATTTTGGGCGATATCGCCCAGCTCTATGACTAGGACCCAGTTTAGTGGCGCAACAACACTTTCACCTCTTCCTCTTTTCTACAGTATATGTCTTTGCCCTATGGCCTCTGGTCAAAAGTAGTGCACTATGTAGGGAATAGGGTGAAATTTGTGACGTAGCTTTTCCTATTTTGTTGCATTACAACCTGTAATTTAAATTGATTTTTATTTGGATTTCATGTAATGGACATACACAAAATAGTCCAAATTGGTGAAGTGAAATTAAAAAAAAGACTTGTTTCTAAATAAATAACGGAAAAGTGGTGCGTGAATAAAGGGAACACTTAAACAACACAATGTAACTCCAAGTCAATCACACTTCTGTGAAATCAAACTGTCCACTTAGGAAGCAACACTGATTGACAATAAATTTCACATGCTGTTGTGCAAATGGAATAGACAACAGGTGGAATTTATAGGCAATTAGCAAGACACCCCCAATAAAGGATGGGTTTTGCAGGTGGTGACCACAGACCACTTCTCAGTTCCTATGCTTCCTGGCTGATGTTTTGGTCACTTTTGAATGCTGGCGGTGCTTTCACTCTAGTGGTAGCATGAGACGGAGTCTACAACCCACACAAGTGGCTCAGGTAGTGCAGCTCATCCAGGATGGCACATCAATGCGAGCTGTGGCAAGAAGGTTTGCTGTGTCTGTCAGCGTAGTGTCCAGAGCATAGAGGCGCTACCAGGAGACAGGACAGTACATCAGGAGACGTGGAGGAGGCCGTAGGAGGGCAACAACCCAGCAGCAGGACTGCTACCTCCGCCTTTGTGCAAGGAGGAGCAGGAGGAGCACTGCCAGAGCCCTGCAAAATGACCTCCAGCAGGCCACAAATGTGCATGTGTCTGCTCAAACGGTCAGAAACAGACTCCATGAGGGTGGTATGAGGGCCCGACGTCCACAGGTGGGGGTTGTGCTTACAGCCCAACACCGTGCAGGACGTTTGGCATTTGCCAGAGAACACCAAGATTGGCAAATTCGCCACTGGCGCCCTGTGCTCTTCACAGATGAAAGCAGGTTCACACTGAGCACGTGACAGACGTGACAGAGTCTGGAGATGCCGTGGAGAACGTTCTGCTGCCTGCAACATCCTCCAGCATGACCGGTTTGGCGGTGGGTCAGTCATGGTGTGGGGTGGCATTTCTTTGGGGGGCCGCACAGCCCTCCATGTGCTCGCCAGAGGTAGCCTGACTGCCATTAAGTACCGAGATGAGATCCTCAGACCCCTTGTGAAATCATATGCTGGTGCGGTTGGCCCTGGGTTCCTCCTAATGCAAGACAATGCTAGACCTCATGTGGCTGGAGTGTGTCAGCAGTTCCTGCAAGAGGAAGGCATTGATGCTATGGACTGGCCCGCCCGTTCCCCAGACCTGAATCCAATTGAGCACATCTGGGACATCATGTCTCGCTCCATCCACCAACGCCACGTTGCACCACAGACTGTCCAGGAGTTGGCGGATACTTTAGTCCAGGTCTGGGAGGAGATCCCTCAGGAGACCATCCGCCACCTCATCAGGAGCATGCCCAGGCTTTGTAGGGAGGTCATACAGGCACGTGGAGGCCACACACACTACTGAGCCTCATTTTGACTTGTTTTAAGGACATTACATCAAAGTTGGATCAGCCTGTAGTGTGGTTTTCCACTTTAATTTTGAGGGTGACTCCAAATCCAGACCTCCATGGGTTGATAAATTTGATTTCCATTCATAATTTTTGTGTGATTTTGTTGTCAGCACATTCAACTATGTAAAGAAAAAAGTATTTAATAAGATTATTTCATTCATTCAGATCTAGGATGTGTTATTTTAGTGTTCCCTTTATTTTTTTTAGCAGTGTATATTCACCCCCTTTGCTATGAAGCCTGTAAATAAGATCTGGTGCAACCAATTACCTTCAGAAGTCACATAATTAGTTAAATAAAGTCCACCAGTATTCACCCCCCCAAAGTCAATACTTTGTAGAGACACCTTTTCCAGCAATTACAGCTGCTAGTCTCTTGGGGTATGTCTCTATAAGCTTGGCACATCTAGCCACTGGGAGTTTTGCCCATTCTTCAAGGCGAAACTGCTCCAGCTCCTTCAAGTTGGATGGGTTCCGCTGGTGTACAGCAATCTTTAAGTCATACCACAGATTCTCAATTGGATTGAGGTCTGGGCTCTGACTAGGCCATTCCAAGACATTTAAATGTTTCCCCTTAAACCACTCGAGTGTTGCTTTAGCAGTATGCTTAGGGTCATTGTCCTACTGGAAGGTGAACCTCCGTCCCAGTCTCAAATCTCTGGAAGACTGAAACAAGTTTCCCTCAAGAATATCCCTGTATTAAGCGGCATTCATCATTCCGGCAAAACATCCCCACAGCATGATGCTGCCACCACCATGCTTCACTGTGGGTATGATGTTCTCGGGGTGATGAGAGGTGTTGGGTTTGCGCCAGACATAGCGTTTTCCTTGATGGCCAAAAAGCTCAACTTTAGTCTCATCTGACCAGAGTACCTTCTTCCATATGTTTGGGGAGTCTCCCACATGCCTTAGTGGTGTTGCAGACTCTGGGGCCTTTCAGAACAGGTGTATATATACTGAAATCATGTGACAGATCATGTGACACTTAGATTGCACACAGTTGGACATTATTTAACTAATTATGTGACGTCTGAAGGTAATTGGTTGCACTAGATCTTATTTAGGGGCTTCATAGCAAAGGGGGTGAATATATATTCACGCACCACTTTTCCGTTATTTATTTTTTAGAATTTCTTGAAATAAGTAATTTTTTTCATTCCTCTTCACCAATTTTGACTATTTTGTGTATGTCCATTACATTAAATCCAAATAAAAATCCATTTAAATTACAGGTTGTAATGCAACAAAATAGGACTAACGCCAACGGGGATGAATACTTTTGCCAGGCACTGTATGCTACTCAAATCATTTAAGCATGTGGATCTGATAAACAGAGAGATAGATATCTTTGTGGTCATGAAGTCTAAACTATATAATAGAATAGAAAATAATAGAATAGAATAGGATGGAAATGTGTCTTTGTCATCACCATACAGAAATTATTAAAAACATCAGACTAATCCAAACATACCTTTTTACTTCGCTTTCTGACTCACTGACCAGTGTTAAGACAAGGGCTCTTCTGAAGACTTTAGGACAGACAGCAGCACAAAGGCAGCTCTATGAGGACACTCTCATCCTGTCCAGTGTTAGTGGGAACCTCCTGCTCTTCAGTCCTAGAGTTAAAACATGTTATTTAGGTGTCACTTCAAAATATTACAGTACACAATACAGATTTCAAAAACACATTGTGGACCACTCAGAGTTTAGTGACACTGTAGGCAAACAAAGTATGCAATCATAGTACATCATGTAATTGGTATCAGCTATAATACATTACATCACCTACAGTTGAAGTCGGAAGTTTACATACACCTTAGCCAAATACATTTAAACTCAGTTTTTCACAATTCCTGACATTTAATCCTAGTAAAAATTCCCTGTTTTAGGTCAGTTAGGATCACCACTTTATTTTAAGAATGTGAAATGTCAGAATAATAGTAGAGAGAATGATTTATTTCAGCTTTTATTTATTTCATCACATTCCCATTGGGTCAGAAGTTTACATACACTCAATTAGTATTTGGTAGCATTGACTTTAGATTGTTTAACTTTTTGTCAAATGTTTCGGGTCTCCTTACACAAGCTTCCCACAATACGTTGGGTGAATTTTGGCCCATTCCTCCTGACAGAGTTGGTGTAACTGAGTTAGGTTTGTAGGCCTCCTTGCTCGCACACACTTTTTCAGTTCTGCCCACAAATTTTCTATAGGATTGAGGTCAGGGCTTTTCTGATGGCCACTCCAATACCTTGACTTTCTTGTCCTTAAGCCATTTTGCCACAACTTTGGAAGTATGCTTGGGGTCATTGTCCATTTGGAAGACCCATTTGCGACCAAGCTTTAACTTCCTGACTGATGTCTTGAGATGTAATTTTCCTTCCTCATGATGCCATCTATTTTGTGAAGTGCACCAGTCCCTCCTGCAGCAAAGCACCCCCACAGCATGATGCTTCACGGTTGGGATGGTGTTCTTCGGCCTGCAAGCAACCCCCTTTTTCCTCCAAACATAACGATGGTGTCACGCCCTGGCTCTGGGGACTCTTGTATGTTGAGCCAGGGTGTTAGTTTCTTTGTGTAGTGTCTATGTTTTGTTTTCTATGTTCTGTTCTAGGTTATGTGTTTCTATGTTGGCCGGGGTGGTTCTCAATCAGAGGCAACGTGAATCAGCTGTTGCTTGTTGTCTCTGATTGGGAACCATACTTAGGCAGCCTGTTGTGCACTTGTGTTTTGGGGGATCTTGTTCCGTGTAGGTTTGTGTTATTGACCGAGGACTTCACGTATCGTTTTGTTGTTTTTGTTGTATTTGAAAAGTACCTATTAAAGTATGTACTCATATCACGCTGCGCCTTGGTCCACTTTTCATGACGATCGTGACAGAAGATCCCACCAAAACAGGACCAAGCAGCGTTTCCAGGAGCAAACGCCGGGTAAGGAGCTGGAGAGGTTGGCGATGGCCCAGGTGGGCCAATGGTGGTCCTGGGAGGACATGTTCGCGGGTAAAGGGCCATGGGCTAAAGTTAAAGCCCTTGCGACAGAGGAGGTACGGCGCCAACAGTGTCGTCGTCGGACAGACGAGAGGCACCCCCAATAAAAATTTTTTAGGGGGGCACACGGCATGGACGACGGGGCTGCTGGAGGCAGATACAGGGCGAGTTTGTGGACGAGGAGAGAAGGCCACCAGGTTACGGGGGCCATTGGTCGTTAGAGGGAGGGAGAGTGTAGAGGCACGGCGAGAGGTACTGAGGTGTGTTACCAGTCCGGTCCGGCCCGTTCCTGATCCCCGCACAAGGCCAGTGGTGGTGTTCCCAGTACGGTCTGGCTTGTTCCTGTCCCCTCGCACCAAGCCTGTGATGCGCGTCTCCAGCCCGGCCCGGCCTGTTCCTGCCCCTCGCACCAAGCCTGTGGTGCGCGTCGCCAGCCCGGTCCGGCCTGTTCCTGCCCCTCGCACCCAAGCCTGTGGTGCGCGTCGCCAGCCCGGCCCGGCCTGTTCCTGCCCCTCGCCCCCAAGCCAATGGTGCGCGTCGCCAGCCCGGCCTGTTCCTGCCCCTCGCACCAAGCCAATGGTGCGCGTCGCAGCCCGAGCCCGGCTGTTCTGCCCCTCGACCAAGCCAATGTGCGGTGCCAGCGGTAAGGCTTGGTTCTCCCCTCGACCAAGCCAATTTGGTGTGTAGCCAGCCCGGTCGGCCTGTTCCTGCTCTCGCACAAGACAATGGTGCGGTTCGCAGCCCAACCAGGCCTGTTCTGCCCCTCGCCAAGCCAATTGTGCGCCGTCGACAGCCCGGGCCCGGCCTGTTCCTGATCCCGCACCAAGGCCTGGGGTGCGCGTCGCCAGCCGGCCGGCCTGTTCCTGCCCCCTCGCACCAAGCCAATGGTGCGCGTCGCCAGCCCGGTCCGGCCTGTTTCCTGTCCCCTCGCACCAAGCCTTGTGGTTGCGCGTCGCCAGCCCGACCCGGCCCCTGTTCCTGCCCCTCCGCACCAAGCCAAGGTGCGGAGTCGCCAGCCCGGTCCGGCCTGTTACCTGGTCCCATCACACTCAAGCCTGTGGTGCTCGTCCGCTCAGGCCCTGGTCCGGCCTGTTCCTGCTCCCCGCAACCAAGCCAGTGGTGCGCGTCGCCAGCCCGGTCCGGCCTGTCCATGCTCCCCGCACCAATCCAGTGGGTGCGCGCGCCAGCCCGGTCCAGGGGCCTGTTTCCCTGCTCCCCGCACCAAGCCTTTGGTGCGCGTCGTCAGCCCGGTCAGGCCCATTCCTGCTCCCCGCACCAAGCCTGTGGTGCGCGTCGTCAGTCCGGCACAGCCCGTGCCTGGTCAGATACCGGTCAGCTGCTCCACACCGGAGCCTAAGCAATCCGCTCCACCGATGTCCAGTCCAGCTCCAGCCAGCGGGACCAGACCAGGGGCTACGGGGGGGGTTGTTAGAGGGTGGTGGTCACGCCCGGAGCCGGATCCGCCTCCGAGGTGGAATGCCCACCCGGCCCCTCCCCTGTTGGGTTTATGATGGCGCGGTCGCAGTCCGCGCCTTTGGGGGGGGGGGTACTGTCACGCCCTGGCTCTGGGGACTGTTGTATGTTGAGCCAGGGTGTTAGTTTCTTTGTGTAGTGTCTATGTTTTGTTTTCTATGTTCTGTTCTAGGTTATGTGTTTCTATGTTGGCCGGGGTGGTTCTCAATCAGAGGCAACGTGAATCAGCTGTTGCTTGTTGTCTCTGATTGGGAACCATACTTAGAAAGCCTGTTGTGCACTTGTGTTTTGGGGGATCTTGTTCCGTGTAGGTTTGTGTTATTGACCGAGGACTTCACGTACCGTTTTGTTGTTTTTGTTGTATTTGAAAAGTACCTATTAAAGTATGTACTCATATCACGCTGCGCCTTGGTCCACTTTTCATGACGATCGTGACAGATGGTCATTATGGCCAAACAGTTCTATTTTTGTTTCATCAGACCAGAGGACATTTCTCAAAAAAGTACGATCTTTGTCCCCATGTGCAGTTGCAAACCGTAGTCTGGCTTTTTATGGTGGTTTTGGAGCAGTAGCTTCTTCCTTGCTGAGTGGCCTTTCAGGTTATGTCGATATAGGACTCGTTTTACTGTGGATATAGATACTTTTCTACCTGTTTCCTCCAGCATCTTCACAAGGTCCTTTGCTGTTGTTCTGGGATTGATTTGCACTTTTCGCACCAAAGTATGTTCATCTCTAGGAGACAGAAAGTGTCTCCTTCCTGAGTGGTATGCGTGCTGCGTGGTCCCATGGTGTTTATACTTGCATACTATTGTTTGTACAGATGAACATGGTACCTTCAGGCGTTTGGAAATTGCTCCCAAGGATGAACCAGACTTGTGGAGGTCTACAATCTTTTTTCTGAGGTCTTTGCTGATTTCTTTTGATTTTCCCATGATGTCAAGCAAAGAGGCACTGAGTTTGAAGGTAGGCCTTGAAATACATCCACAGGTACACCTCCAATTGACTCAAATGATGTCAATTAGCCTATAAGAAGGTTCTAAAGCCTTGACATATTTTTCTGGAATTTTAAAGTCAACTTAGTGTATATAAACTTCTGACCCACTGGCATTGTGATACAGTGAATTATAAGTGAAATAATCTTTCTGTAAACAATTGTTGGAAAAATTACTTGTGTCATGCACAAAGCAGATGTCCTAACCGACTTGCCAAAACTATAGTTTGTTAACAAGAAATTTGTGGAGTGGCTGGAAAACAAGTTTTAATTACTCCAACCTAAGTGTATGTAAACTTCGGACTTCAACTGTATACACAATTAGTATCCTATTGTCACGTTCGTTGATTGAAGGCTCGGGCCAAGGTGCAGCGTGGTAGGCGAACATATTAATTTATTAAATGAAACACAGACAAAACAACAAAATACACACAAACGTAAAGTTCTGCAGGCTACAATGCAACCATACAAAAACAAGATCCCACAAACTAAGGTGGGACAAAGGCTGCCTAAGTATGATCCCCAATCAGAGACAAAGATAGACAGCTGCCTCTGATCGGGAACCATACCCGGCCAACAAAGAAATAGAAAAACTAGAATGCCCACCCAAATCACACCCTTACCTAACCAAATAGAAAATAAAAGGGATATCTAAGGTCAGGGCGTGACACCTATAGAATAAACAGTTACTTCTCAGTTAACAGGTGAACAATAAAAGCCTGATAAGATATGTTAATTATAAACTATTAAATAATTTCATGTCACAGGCTGAGCCTATATACTGTATGTGTCATTTTGACCGCAACTTGATACAGCTTGAAATTGATGTAAGGATTGAGGTGAGGTTTAGCAAGAACTTTCCGGGATTACATAATGATTCAGATATCCAAATGAACTTCTCAAACCACAAACAGCTCAAACAGACACACACACACACACACACACACACACACACACACACAATGCATGCATGAGCACATACACACACAAAACCAGTCAGAAATTTGGACACACCTACTCATTCAAGGGTTTTTCTTTATTTTTTGACTGTTTTCTACATTGTAGAATAATAGTGAAGACATCTGTTATAATTACTTGTGATACAAGATTCATGAATGTATGTAAAACTCATTAACAATGCTGGTTAAGTGTGCCTTGAATTCTAAATTAATCACAGTGTCACCAGCAAAGCACCCCCACACCATAACACCTCCTCCTCCATGCTTT